GCCCACTACCATGACCTCAGTGACCTCCACCAGGAGGTGAGTTGAAAAAAGACTAGAAGTGGGACAAAAGAACAGAGAATTAAAAAAAAGGTCGACGCCCCCTGCTGGTGGCTGCTAGTGTTCAACAAATCGTGTCGCTAACGAAGGTGTTGATTGGTTAGCGTTACATAATAAAAACCTGGACGTAGTGTTTCCTCGTCTGTCATCGTCTGTGACTCCCGTTTCAGGGCTGTGGTCCAAAGATCTACTCTTTTATCCGTGGTACGAAGCAACTGCAGGTGTTGCGTTTCCTGGGCGTGTCCATCGGTGTGGCTCAGATCCTGGCCATGGCGCTCACTCTCACGCTGCTCTGGGCGCTCTATTACGGACGAAAGGCTCCGGAGCCAAACACTACGGCGGCGCCGGACGACTCTGCCTCTCTGACAGCCGCACACGGACACACAACCGAAGCGACGCAGTCGGGCTGCAACCACACGAACCCCACGGCGGCCAAACCACCGGGGGTCCAGCTGGAGATGGAGCGACTATCGTAGCCCAAGACGAGACGATTCAGAGGCGGAAATCACTGTCACTAACAGGACTGAGAGCTGATTTGGTGACGTTTTTATGAACACGTGATGAACACGAGTGATCACTGGCTTGAACATAACTTGGACAATGATGCAGCTATGTTCCTAAGGACCGTATGACAAGTGTCATATATTCATTATTGTTGTCACACATGGACACAAGAACGAGTGTGTGCAGAGATTAACTGCTAGAAAACCATACAGTAGCTCAGGTTGTTTGAACATGTTATTGTGATGTGTTGCAGCCATGAGGCAAAGGTGGGGTTTCATCCTGAACAGTTCCTTATTAGGGCCAGCAACCATTCACACCTATGGTCAGTTTGGGGCAGGGGTGTCATACTCATTTTGGTTCATGGGTCACATTCAACCTAATTAGATGTCAAGTGGGCCAGAGTGAAACCCCAAGCGGGCCAGTTTTGTCCCACGGGCCGTATGTTTGACACTCCTGGTTTTGGGGAAACAAATGACCTTATTCTTATTCTGCATGTTTTTGGATTGTGGGAGGCAGCTGATTGGTTGTTTGTCTCTACGTGTGACTGTCCAGCGTGTATCCCCGGCCTGACTTGATGACTGTCGGGATTGGCTTCAGTCAACCTTCTGAGACCCTGAAAAGCATGACGTTGTAGAAGATAAATAATAGAGTCTTCAACACTGACTCTAAGACAGAACCTCACAGAGTCACATCACCCCCCAAAAAACTCAAACTTTCCCTTTAATAATTACACACAACCCCAGAACATGTATGTCTGATTTAGTCACCTGACCCCACAGAGGTGTCCGGTGGAGTAGTTACTGCTCTGAATAAATGTAAAATTATTTATTGATAATAAAAAAAACCCATGTTCACTGTTTACCACATCTTCAATGTTAACCACATATACCAGAGATGTCAAACATACGGCCCGCGGGCCAGAACCAGCCTGCTCAATGCACAAACATGGAAAATGGCTGTTAGCGTAGATGGGTGACACAGAAAGAAATGTACACTTATAGGGCAGGGGTGTCAAACATATGGCCCGTGGGTCAAAACTGGCCCGCTTGGGGGTTCAATATGGCCCGTTTGATGAATGTTAAAAGTGAAAAAAGGCACAACATGGTAGTGATGTTTTGTAAAATATTTCATTAAATATATTTTTTGTAATATATTTGTTCTTATTGTCATGAAAACAAAGGGGAAACATGGACTTCTTCTTATTTATGGGTAATTATGTTATATTAATGCTGGTCCGGCCCACATGACTGGTCTAATCAGGCTGTATGTGGCCCCTGAACCAGAACAAGTTTGACACCCCTGACATGTGCTGTGTGGTTCAAAATGAGTTTAAAATGATTTAAGTTCAAGTATTTATTTCTTTTTACAGCAGAACAAAGGAAGCTCCTCGTCGCAACATCATCGCCAATAATTCCCGGTGTGGATGTCAAATGTACACATATAGTAACAAACCAAATGTTGTTTTCTTCACCGTTAATCGTCCCGATCAAACGCATGCAAGTTGTAGAAAAATACCACGCGAAACGTCGACTGAACATTGTACATTTACAGAGTTCAAATCGAAAACAAATGTTTTTTACTACTAGAATAATAACACCACACGTGAGCTAACAATCATCCAGACCAAAGGGTAAAACAAAATCTTCACCAAACAACAGTTTGATTACGTTGTACTGTAAATGTCAGCAGGGCTAGTTCAGGGGCAGCGAACAGGGTCGGTCATTTGCATCTTCCTCTGAAATCCTGACCAACATTTCATGTAACAAAAAGGAGGAATGTTTCTACATCAGTCGTCCAGAGGCTCCAATGATGAACTTTGGTTCTTTACGATGCAGCGACTTTTTAAATCCACGTGCCTGTATGATTGAATCCCAGCAGTATGATTGAATTTTTTACAAGGTCAATTCAGAATCAAAATAGTTACCATAAAGAGAGACGAGAAGTCCTTTTGACGTCCTCAAGAAGTTTCACTGTTTGCTGTGAAAAGGAAGTTTTGGATCCAGTCTGATTACATTAAAAGTTTCTCTCATTCATTCAATGAAAAGCAAATATTGATGTATCTGTCAGAAAACAAATGATCTCCAATATTTACACCAAAATACACTTTTATTATTAAATTAAATATAAACCTGTTGAAACATCTGAATGATACTAAGCTAATGCTAGCTTGGGCTTGATGAGATCAAACATTTAAAAATAGTTAGCTAAGATTCCCTAAACTGAAACGGTAAACTAATTTGAGGTGTGTTTGAAGACATAATAAGAAAATTTATTGTCAACACTTCTTGTTTTCCCTGATTAGCATGAGCATTAGCCCGAGCTTTGTTTTTTTTCCACATAGTGTTTACCCTCAATGTGGTGTGAAGTTATTGGAACAAAGCTAACTTAAGTTAGCTTAGGGTAATATGAAGATTCTGATTATTTGAGGTGGTGTTTATACAAAACTTGGGTACGGCTAATACAAACACACATTAGTCGTATCCAAGTTTTGTATAAACACACGGTAAGCTACTGCTAACTTAAAAATCACAGGTGCTTCTTTATAAATCCAGTACCTGCTAATACTAGCAGTATTCCATGTACTTTTTAGTCACGTTATATTTGCAACTAAGGAACTGCAGGTTATCTTTGTAAAAACAAAAACTCTTCCTGTCACAGTAAAAATGTATAAACTCACTAAACCTGCAGTAAAGTTTCACTTTGTTGATTTGTACATGCAGTTTTAGAAACAAACAAAACAAAAAACAAAGAACGTAAAACTCT